GTCCCAAGAAACTTCGATGTCTCATTAGGTACGAACTCGAAGTTGGAGTTTTTGATTATTATATAGCCTTTATGCGTGACCAGGGTTATCAAGAGGATCGTATCGAAAAAATAAAAGCCTCCAGAGCTCCAGATTTATGTGCAAAGTTCCACGTTTCTTCCATGCCTGGCATTTTGTTAGGTTGAGTGATATATAAGATTGTTCTAGCGATGATAAATCGGAACGTGAAGGTTATCGAACACCCAGATTTCTGTTTCTAAGGAAAACTTGTTAAAAAATATTCCATCCGTCTGCTGACTACAAATGAGGTTGCGGATGTATTTTTTAGTATGGTTAGATTGAGGAGTCGCGCTCTACGTCTCATGGAGGACGTGGCTCGTTCTTGAGAGCCTGGACAAGATAGTGTACCAGATAAATAGAAAGCGGAGCACTTACAAGTATATTCAGATAAGAGATAGACCGGACATAAACAAGACCACGTGATCATCGAACGCTGTAACATTCGACAGGGACGTATTAAGAGTCACGCAGTATATATTTTAGATGGTAGATGCTGCTTTGCGTAACTTTGTAGTAAATTAGCACAATTCGATGTGTATACGATTGGTGATGGATATAGGATCATGTGGGGGTGGGGTAAGAAATATATAATGATGTAAATATACATAAGGGTTTCAAAATTTTCGCTTCGATTTCCAGCTTCGGATGCCGCCTGATGTTTGGTGAAATACAGTCGAATATAATCTCAAAATGGCGTTTAAATTAGCCTAAATTAAAAATAATCGTATATCTCTTAAAATTGCTTTTAGAATATTGATTAGTATATTTTTTGATTTCTAGGTAAATATGTAACCAAATTAAAACGTTCAAAACGTAAAAAAATGTGCATGGTTGAACATTGTCAGAAGGTAGATTCTTGAATAGGTTTTGCCAAAATGGGTTCAAAAATGTCAATAATTAATTAAAAAATACAGTAGCTTTATAATTACTTATAACTTACCGAATTTGATGAACGACATCTTTTATTGGAAAGATGAGCTTGATGAGCTTTCATCATCGCTAGTGCCTGAAGCACCAACGTCAATAATGAATGGCTCGACTTGTTCCTCTAAAATATTGTCCAGTTCCCACATTCTCTTTTCAACTTTGTCTTTCACGTGCTTAATACAGTTTTCCCATTTTTGCGCTGTTATTAATTCTAGTGCTTCTTTGAAAAGTCCTTTGAGGTCACAAAATTTAAAAGTTGTATTGTGCTTAGCTATATAATTTTTAACCTCTGCCCATATGAGCTCAATGGGATTGAGCTCGCAATGGTATGGAGGTAAACGGAGCACAGTTTTATTTTGACTTGCTGCCATTTCGTCAATGGCGTATTTTTGATATTCCGCCTTGTGATCCTTGACAATTCTTAATAATTGTACTTTCAGCATTGCTTCTTCAAAGTTGATATTTTTCGTGCGGAGCCAATTTTCAACATCAACTTTCCTTGAAGCCGTTGTTGGGACCTTCTCCATTCTTCGAGAATGATAAGGCGCATTATCCAACACAATTACTGCGTTTTCCTCTAAGTTCGGTAAAATTTTTGAAAACCACTGTTCAAACGATTCACCATTCATTTCCTTGTGGTAATCTCCGGTTTTCTTACACTCAAAGCACCACAGACCGTCAACAACAAATCCATCCTCACTGCCAATATGGCAGATAATGAGCCTTTTCCCTTTACCTGGAAATCGAAGTACTAACTGGTGTAGATTTATTTCAATAAGCGAACCTTTTTCAAATGTTTTCATCACATTCAGCGAAAAAACATTGAGACATGAGTATCAGATTGCTATAATTGGGATTATTTAGTCATATTGAAAGAAAGAATATTGAACGTCGTATGATTACTCAGCGCTTCACAATTTAATTTAAAGTTATAAACCTTTAAAAAATGAATGATCAGGAACCTGAAATACGCGCAAATATTAATATTAACAAATTATAACTTTATAAAGCTTAAAGTATGAATTAAAATGATTAGAAATATTAGGAACGGTACACAATATAAAACTTAGTAACTTTTTTTAAGTTTATAATATTCGACATATTTTAAGATTATATTAAAAAATTATTGAAATATCGAAAACACATAAAAACATGGCTTAAAAAAGTTCTAACAAATGAAAATGACAACAAAACATCCACGCATTTTATCGAAAGTTATAGAAGTTTTGTTACTTGTAATATATTTTATCTGCCCCCTGGAATTAATGTTTAGAACCTTGTTCCCAAGGTTTGAAAAACATCCGATTGTTGTCTATTACTCGTATTTACCTGCTGGATTTTTTAATCCGGTGGACAGTCCATCTAGAAAGGCTCTCCTGGATGAAGTTACAGGATCATCAACCCATACTTTACTTGTAGTGTGTCCTGCGTTTACGCACGTTTCATCAAGGTAATAAATCTTCCTGTTTTGAATTCTATATTTCCCAATTTTTGTTAAATAATCCCTCCTCCATAGCACAATTTCCTCTCTATCCAGTAGTAAACTATTACGACCCCGTTTTTTCCATTTGAAATTTAAATGCTTCAGTAACGCATGGAAAGTTGATCGTTTGAAATTTGGCAACGTTGTATCTCCATTTACCTCCTGCAGTACTTTATCTATAGTAGGTATTTCATTCCTAAAGAAGAATTCATGCACTTTCCTCCTAATCGCATGCTTATCAGCTTCATCCAATGATTTAACAATACTTTTGCGATGTTTAGTGGTCATTGGCTCAGAAAAGGTGTGATTTTGTTTGTATTGTCTTAACACATTAAACACTGATGCGCGACACACCCCAACTTTTTGAGAAACCTTCACAACAATTTCTTTGATGGTTGATACCTCGTTCTCCTCGCGCTCGATCTTATATATATTCAAAATGATAATAATATACAACCTCATCGGAAGTATCTGTACTACTGGGCATTTTGCGCACGCAGTTGATAACAATAACAATCAATAACAAGGTATAACAATAACAACGACAAACTCAACAACTTAATAAGATAACAAACGAAAACGTCCAAAGAAATATCAAATTGCAATGATGCAGACGACATACGTAACACGTCTGAACCTGAATGTGACTCTGCCTTGATACGACTGCTCTGCCGCTCGGCATAGGCATTTATTTGCGAATTGACCAATGAGGGCTCCTGTTTTACGTCGAGACGGCGGTGTTAGCGTGAAAATCACCCGAACCTTTTGTTTACATCTGGTCTATCTCTTATCTGAATATACTGTAGTAAGACCAGAGCCAAGGACTTTTGCGGATATGAAACGTCAATGTACAGGTTGCAGTGATTATTATAATACAAAATTAAAACAGTAATATAAAAATAATACTGCACGTGACAATGGATAATGAAACTCAAACTACGATATAATAACATTTTTCTGCCAGGTTTTTTGAAACAGTTAGTAGCAACCAAGAATTTGATATCATTAAGGTAGTTGATTGTATATGGCGGACACATATTAGACCGATATCTGTCTTTTCTGGAAATAGAAACTGGTCCTTTCCACGTCAAATACTGGAAAAAGCACGTAACATTATTCCACTTTGTATGCAACGTCGTAGGGCTGAGATATTCAGCGTGACGGAGCTTGACAGAAAATAGGTCTATAAAGTAAGAAATGGCAAAATTTTCTGGAAGGTCTAGCATGTTTGATACTAAGCTTTAATGGTGGTTATATAGTAAACATGAGATGGTGGTACCGTCAGTATCTGGGATCGACAAAAATGATCAGAACTGAGTTAGTTGTCAAGCATCATTATAGCTAGGTCAAGGAGGAGGTGTAGTCAAGAGGAGACTTTACGCGGGTGGTTTTTGACATCTGCCTTTGTCTTTGTCGTTATGTGGAAGGATCTGCGGAAAAACTGGGGAATGAAGCTTAAGCAAATGTTTGGCTTCACACCGTGGTTGTTAGATCTATGATAACCTGTGGATCTGTAGCTTGGTGGGACAAGCCAGCACAAAGAACTGTCTAAGAGTCTGGGAATGCCTTCTGATGTGATGCCAAAGTTAAAACAAGATATGTTAAACCCTACTCAGTGACAGTTCCACACCGGAATGAGTGGGAACAGCAAGTTAACCTGATAAGAAAAGATATATGTGCATTCACAGTTAGCTCCAAAACCGAGGTAGGTGTTGGAGCTGGTATATTTGAGCCGAAGCTAAAGATTAAAAGACCTGTTAGCCTAGGAACCTGGGCATCGATCTGGGGTGCCAGAATGATCGCAGAATGACAACTGAGGCACATAACTGTAATTATTTTTGCAGATAGTTAAGCCGCACTTAAAGCACTTGGCTCCACCTACTCGACATCGAAATTAGTGTGGGATTGCAAAGAAGCTATCGGTGGCATAGGGGAGCGAAATGAAGTCCGTCTGATATGGATATCAGGACACACAGACAGCTGACACTCTGGTAAAGAGAGGGGCTAGCACACCCTTCATAGAGCCTGAGCCAGCGATTGGGATCGCATACAATAAGGCTAAACAAATAATCTCTGCAGAGATGGACAGAAAGATTCATCAATACTGGGAGGGTAAGGCAACTATACCAATCTTGACAAAGGAGGTAAAGACTCCACAGTCTGGGCATGGCGGAAGGCGCTGAGTGTAGACTGTACATGGAAGGAGATGAAACGGTCGGGCATGTATTGTGCAGATGCCCTGCAGTTGCCAGGATCAGGTACAACATAATTGGAGACGTAGTACTCCAAGAAGAAGACCTGGAGGATATTTCTTCAAACAAGTTGATCGACTTCCTCATGAGAGGGAAATATAAATAGGGGTGAGCCACAATAGACCAAAGAGTCGCAGTGAGGATAGTTATTGATGCACTCGCAAGAAACCTAATCTTACCTAACCTTGTCTTTGTTGACCTTGTCCTTCAAATTGAAGCAACTCAGCGTTGCCAGTCTTTTACAACAAAAACAGGGACTAGGATAAGGAAAGAAGAAAAAGATGATGATGATGACAATATTGAAGAGTTAATTTCTTACCTTTCTGCTTCGGCGCGTCCCTGTCCCGCATGGCTGAGCACGTAGACTCTGTTGGCGTCCTTGTACCATTTGACGCTGTGCAGTTGGCCGCACTGCTTCGTGTCGACGCGACATGGCAACGACACGTTCGTACCGATGTGTGCCCGCACTATTTCCGCATCGCTACCGGTAACTGAAACAGAAACGTTCAATCAAAAATGGGTTCAGTCATGCCTTCACTCATCTACAGGGTGACTTCGAAGTTGAGTCATTTATTTTAACAGTGAGTAGATCTGATCAAAAGAAATGTTTTTTTCCTTTAACATTTTTGTGGTAAAATTAAAGTAACAAAGTTATAGCCCTTTAGAAGTTTGAGTACCGCCCTGTCTCAATAATAATATTATGTGCTCGTATTTGGCAACAACGGATATAATCCGCCTTATCGGTTCATCGCATCAGAAACAAAAAAGCGAAAGAATTTGAAACGTTGATCACGATGCTTTTATTCAGTCAATGTGTCAGTCGGTAACGCGTGAGTGAATAGTGGTGTTTGCTGCGTGGCTCAAACGAAATAAAAAATGGCACATGTTTGTGCGGATCGGTTTCCCAATCGAGTGCAACCAACCCCTCGTGCCTTTGTTAATGTAGTACAACGGGCTCGTGAATCAGGTGACTTAAGACCTCACAGGGGAAGGCATGCCGGTGCTCCAAGACGTCACGATCGAATACAGGTCCGCACTGAAATACTTGTCGGGAGGATACTTTATAAAACAAGGTAATTAATTTTTTAATTTTTTTTTATTTTTACACACATATTTTGGTTTATCTTCCTTCTACAATCATTATCTGAAAATTAATGACTCGACTTCAAAGTCGGTATAGGAGATTATGCGATACATTGAGACCCGATCTTACTATTGTTCCTCGCTACCTGAAATCTTGATCCGGACGATAGAGAAGGCGTATTTCTAGTTACGGATCAAATGAATATAGTTGATTTCGATTCTAGCGGAAAAATATATGCTTTGTGTCAGAAGGGCCTCTAGTCGTGACGTCACGCAAAGTAGGCCTATGCATGTTCTTATGGAGTTTCGCGATGTCTGGCTGGCAAGAGAACCGCGCCATCATTTCTCTGCGGTGTTGTCATATATAGATTTAGTATCGAAATCTCTACTAATTAGTTGTACCTCTCTGTGGGCGAATTTGCAAGATGTACTCGGGGCCTGCGCAGCTTCAGTGATGATGTGATTATTCTTTCTGATCTGCCTCAGTATGTCAAGAATACATTTTCGATATTACGTTCAATCTGTCACTTGTGAAGTCTAATGTTCCATTCAAAATTGGAAGATGTGGCAACCTTGGTAACACCGCTAACATCCAACAGCTGTCCAACAGCCAAGTAACCTCACATTCTGAGCCTCTATTATGTATCTTTCTACAGATACAGTACCTCGGTCTCTTCTCTAAAAATGCCATGGCCACCGCTTCTTCATCACCCTGTATATCCCACGTGCTCTCCCTAGAAGCATCGATGTACCTTTAGGACGTATTCCGACTTCTCGTACTACACCGAAGTCATATTAAAAGTTGCCGTCTTTGAATTCCGTCACCGGCAGCTCCAAACAGGCACTGGAAAACTTCTCGAGGATGCTCACGCACGTGTACTCCGCCTTGGAGTATTTCCTTGCAAAAGGAGGGATGCACCTTCGCGTGCAACTTCAAGAAAAATCGGCACCGCAACTTCCACGTCCTCGTTAAAGTTATATGGAGATACGCTCCGGGCAGGTACATAGGCAAACAACCCTGTAGAGGTACCGGTGCGCTTTGAGCTGCATCTCAAAACAACTTTATAAACAAAATTACAACTTCCGATAGAGTTTGGAGTTTTACGCGTGAGGTATCGTTATGGGATTGCTTTCTAGCGATTGGATTTGAAGTGTGATGTGGAATTTGAGGAGCTATAAGCTCATGCAGTGAATATAGTGTACGGACACGTAACACAAATACATCAAATAGAAAAAAATAAAAAAAGACAGTTCATAGCTATAAAGTTTGTACACTCCTCCAGCTATCATACTGCACTTTGAAGCTATTAACTGAAGTAGCACCAACCACACTTTCAGGTAAACTATTCCAGGTGTTGAATATGCGGTTGGGAAGAAACCACTGTCGGACTGTTGTTTTAAATGGCTCCTTATGCAGTTTGAAGCTGTGTCCGCGTAGATTGCTGCGCGACAGACGGTATAGATGCATGAGGTTGGTGCCCATCAAACCATGAAGTATCCTGAACGTAACTATAAGATCGCCACGAAGTCTTCGCTCAGAGAATGAGGTCAGGTTGAATAATTCAAGGCGATCTTCATAGCTTGGTCTTCGTGCTCCAAAAGGGATACGAGTAGCCCGACGCTGTACTGATTCTATCGCGCAGAAGCACAGTGTCCCATACCGGGCCAGCGAATTCAAGAATTGGCCTCACGAATGCCTTGTAAATGTAGGCGCAAGTGTTGACATCGGATCCTTTGAAAGACCTCTCCAGCATGTATAGAAGTTTCTTGGCTTTTGATGTAACGTGGTGAATATGCTCTGACCAGGAAAGACGATCGTTGACTACAACGCCCAGATCAGTGTAGCTGGAAACTGCTTCGATGTTGTGGTCAGAGATCTTGTATGTAAATCGCGGATTTGTCTTCCCGAGGTGAAGGACACAACATTTAGTTAGATTTAAGGGTAAAAGCCAACTGACTGACCATTGACAAACAATATCAAGATCTCGTTGAAGCATAGCAGAATTTACGACAGTATTGTAAATCTTGGTGCCGTCGGCATAAGCTGAACATGTGGAGGAAATCAATGCGGGCAGGTCACTTGTATACAGAATGAACAGCACTGGCCCCAAGACAGAGCCTTGAGGAACTCCAATTGCTACATGATGAAGGTGAGACTGGCTATCACTGACGCGCACAGAGAAAGTCCTCCCGGTGAGAAAAGCCTTAATCCACAGTAACAACTCGCCTCTTATTCCCATACATTCCAACTTAAACAGAAGCCATCTATGTGGTACGCGATCGAAAGCCCTAGAAAAATCTAAGTAGATTATATCAACAGGAGTCTTTGTGTCCAGATACTGAGTCCAATCGTTGAGAGAGTGGAGAAGGTTGGTCATTATTGATCGACCAGGGAGAAATCCATGATGATTCTTCGGGATAAGGTCATTTTCGAAAGCAAATGACAGGAGCTTATCTAATATGATTCTTTCAGCTATTTTGGCGGCGATAGGAACGAGACTTATTGGTCGATAATTTTTAGCGGAGGATTTGTCGCCCTTTTTGAATACAGGGGCAACAGAAACACTAAGCCAGCATGAGGGTAGGGTATGAGATCTAAAAGACGATGTGAATATCAATCTTAATGGTAGGGCCAGTGCTGAAGCGCAGTTTTTAAGTACAGCAGCCGTCATCCCATCTTTACCAGGGGATGACAGAATCTGGTTCCTGAGTAAATCAGGTACGAAGATCGCGAGGATAATTTTTCGGCAAAATCGACAAGAAACCCCAACCGTGAATCCAACAACCGCATGAAACATGTTTTACGAGAAAGTAAGACATAAATAATAATAATAATGAAATGTGTTTTTTGTTGGTAACAAAATGTCACTTTTTATGAAATTATTTCTTCCCCGGGAAAAAATGAGTACTTTTTTCCATAAACATAAGCAAAGGTAGATATTTAATTTTAGAATATTTCATTATACAATAAACTTACATTTCCTTTATACCAAAAGTACAATTATCAAATGCGCAAACTATTTGGTACAACAGGCGAATTTTCTTGTGTTGAAATTATATGTTTTTCTGCAATCACAACATGTTGCAAGAGTCACAATAGACTTCTTTCAACATAATGATGTCACATTGTTACCATGGCCACCAAGATCTCCCGACTTATCCCCAATTGAGCACGTGTGGGATATGATGGGTAGGAGATTGCTCAATTTGCAACGTCCTCCACAGACTCTAGAAGCACTTCGAGAGGAGTTGGTGGTTGCCTGGAATGAGATACCTCAGGAGGACATTGACCACCTGATCAGAAGCATGCCTAGGCGCGTTGGAGAATGCGTAGCACATCAGGGTGCATCCACACATTATTAAAGGTCAAAGGGCTCTAAAGCAGTGCAATCATTTTCAAATTTTTATCATTTACTTATTATGCTTCATTAAGTACTTATAACAAAATTTTATTAAAATAAAACCATTTAAACTGGGTGTTCGGATCTATATGTCACTTAGTATATTCTGACAGCTGTGATTAATAAAAACAATTGTCATGGCTTTTATTTTTCACAGCCACCTATCCGTTATAGACTTATTTTGCATTGAAATGAAAATAGGTTGATATGCTGTAATTGCAACATGTGTTACTTTTATGCTACAAATTTGATTAGGGAGTGATAAAGTTGGTGTTTTCTACTATATATTATCAAAATATTCATTATTATTTTAAACCTATAACATCATGCTACATTTTTACTATTTGTGTTTGATAAGAAAAAAAACTAAGATTTCAATAGTTGGGCCAACTGAAGTGGGAAGGGGCTCGTAATATGCGTTTTTTGTATTTATTGAAAAAGTAAACGGGGAATGAAAATATAATTTATAGTCCGGGGCGCCTCAACAAAAAAAGGTTGGCAAACCCTGCTTTAAAGTCTAGTTTTTAGCTTTCAGATCTAGTTTTTACCGCTACGTAAATGAGCTTTGCTACCCAGAGCTCTCCTCAATGATTCCGCCGCGTTATGTGTCAACCAGACACACTCCCCTGACTTTGGCCTCCCACCGTAACCGTGTCGAACTTCGTACATCCAGAACTGGTCGATACGGCCGCTCCTTTACCCTTAGGATATCAAGATTTTCAAAAAATCTAGCCGAGGAGGCTTTAACAGTTCTACTAACATTAGGCAATTAAAAATTCGAAACAATAAAGTTTATCTGAGATTATACACAACTGGATTATGCGACCACTACGATGTGATAAACGTAATTCGAGACATTGTTCTTTAATTATCTCGCTCGTCCGGTTTGGTTCATTAAGACGCTTCAGGTCTTTCGCATTCTGATTTAATCTCGTGGTACGTTTGGTGTGAATCCTTACGAACCCCTTCAGGAGGAAGTACCGAATTAGTACCACCGGATGGAGCCAAGGTTCGTAAATCGGTTCAACGGCCAGTCTTTTTCATCAAAATGTTGGTCTACCTGTTGTAACGACATCCTACTGGCTCTGCTTCTATTGAAATGGGAATAAAAAAGCGTCGTTAAACGTGCATTATGACGTAAAAAGAAAATGCGTGACGTTTTTTTGGCGTAACGACCACAAATCCATAAAGTTTACTACCTCGGGTAATGGTGATGGTAAAAGTGAATACTTCAGCTGTGAAGGTCGAATGCTACATGTCCTCCATGTTCCGCTGAACAAGTATCGATAACGGTGTAAAATTTAAAACACGTGTACGCTTTTTTGTAAAGAAGGAGGCATTCATTAATTTTTGATTCGACGAGATAGAAAAACCAAAATTTCTAGTAGTAGACCTTATACAAAACTAGTCTAATTTTCAGTAATTATTACGAAAAAATTATGAATAAAGATGGTTCCCATTCCACAAGATTGTCTTTAGAATAAATCGAATAAATCGAATAAATCGAATAAATCGAATAAATCGAATAGATCGAATAAATCGAATAAATCGAATAAATCGAATAAATCGAATAAATCGAATAAATCGAATAAATCGAATAAATCGAATAAATCGAATAAATCGAATAAATCGAATAAATCGAATAAATCGAATAAATCGAATAAATCGAATAAATCGAATAAATCGAATAAATCGAATAAATCGAATAAATCGAATAAATCGAATAAATCGAATAAATCGAATAAATCGAATAAATCGAATAAATCGAATAAATCGAATAAATCGAATAAATCGAATAAATCGAATAAATCGAATACATCGAATAAATCGAATAAATCGAATAAATCGAATAAATCGAATAAATCGAATAAATCGAATAAATCGAATAAATCGAATAAAATAAATCGAATAAATCGAATAAATCGAATAAATCGAATAAATCGAATAAATCGAATAAATCGAATAAATCGAATAAATCGAATAAATCGAATAAATCGAATAAATCGAATAAATCGAATAAATCGAATAAATCGAATAAATCGAATAAATCGAATAAATCGAATAAATCGAATAAATCGAATAAATCGAATAAATCGAATAAATCGAATAAATCGAATAAATCGAATAAATCGAATAAATCGAATAAATCGAATAAATCGAATAAATCGAATAAATCGAATAAATCGAATAAATCGAATAAATCGAATAAATCGAATAAATCGAATAAATCGAATAAATCGAATAATCGAATAAATCGAATAAATCGAATAATCGAATAATCGAATGAATCGAATAAATCGAATGAATCGAATGAATCGAATAATCGAATGAATCGAATAAATTGAATGAATCGAATAAATCGAATAAATCGAATAAATCGAATAAATCGAATAAATCGAATAAATCGAATAAATCGAATAAATCGAATAAATCGAATAAATCGAATAAATCGAATAAATCGAATAAATCGAATAAATCGAACAAATCGAATAAATCGAATAAATCGAATAAATCGAGTAAATCGAATAAATCGAACAAAGAGAACAAATCGAACAATTCGAACAAATCGAATAAATCGAGTAAATCGAATAAATCGAACAAATCAAATAAATAAAATATGTCTCTTCTGGTTTTTGCTTCAAAGTGAAATATTCTTAATTAGGATACCCAATCCTTAGGTAAAAAGCGGCGTGTAATTTTTTTTGCTCTTCTTCAAAACATCCCAACATAGAAGATAAAATTTTTATTTTTGCTACCATTTTGAATAGTTGGTATCGTTGGTGCTTTTAATGACCACAAGAGTATATCTACGGTTAAAATATCATCCCCCTACCAACGAAACACTCTATTTTCGAATGGAAACAGCATTTTCTTCAAATACCCGATTTCGTTTCAATTTCATCGCACACCATGAACCATCCTACACGCAACCTATTCTAAAGTTCGAACCACCCCGTATACGACGTACCCCGCACAGTCGAGGATCGATTCGCCGTTCACATCGTATGTATGTAACGGATAATCTGCAGGAACGTCGGTGTAGTCCCTCAGGGGGTACCTGGAGCGCTTACAGATACATCCTTCAGTACAAAGCAGTGGGATAGAGCTGGCTTGGCACGTGCCAGGATGTAACGAGACTCTCGTGACGTTAGAAGCAGACGGCGGCGACGAGTTGCTCTTGATATTCACCGGCTACGCCTGTCTGTTTTATTGGCGCCGTACGCAGGGCGAATTTCGCTGAGGTGTACAGGGTAGGAAAGTACAGACGACCAGTATTTTTAGTAGCTTGTTAGTAGTTGTAGTGTTCGAATACTGAAACCTGATATTCGAATACCAATTCTGAATACTGTATTTCAAATTGTATTCGAATATTCAAGGTTCGAGTACAAAAAAAGGATTTGAATACCGCTGTTTTGCAGCTTAAAAGTTAAGATGTCCAGGACATAGATTCATAAAGTAAATAAGGAAAAAACTAAAATAAATGTCACGAATAATATAGATAAAATATATAAAACAAATGAAATAAATAAAGCAAATAAAAAATTAAATAATATGAGTAAAATAAATAAATAAAATAAATGAAACAGATAAAATAAATAAAATGAATGATATGAATAATTAAATAAATAAATAATCAAATAAATTAAATAAACTAAATAAATTAAATAATTAAATAAATTAAATAAATTAAATAAATTAAATAATTAAATAAATTAAATAAATTAAATAATTAAATAAATTAAATAAATTAAATAAATTAAATAAGTTAAATAAATCAAATAAATTAAATAAATTAAATAAATCAAATAAATTAAATAAATTAATAAATTAATAAATTAAATAAATTAAATAAATTAAATAAATAAATTAAATAAATAATAAATTAAATAAAAAAATTAAATAAAGTAAATAAATTAAATAAATTAAATAATTAAATAAATTAAATAAATTAAATAAATTAAATAAATTAAATAAATTAAATAAATTAAATAAATTAAATAAATTAAATAAATTAATAAATTAAATAAATTGAATTAAATTAAATAAATTAAATAAATTAAATAAATTAAATAAATTAAATAAATTAAATAAATCAAATAAATAAAATAAATAACGTCTTTATTTAAGGAAAATTCTAGCCGCATAAGCAATTTAAACTTAACCGCTCCCTTAAATATTGACATCCAGTTAGTAAACGCCCTAAATGTTCATTTGCTTTACAACTGTTTAATGTTTGATTGTTATGATATTCAATCTTTATAGTTTTGCAGAAAGCTACAGCTACATCCATAAAATTCCGCATAAAAGTGGGAATGTAACTACCTCAGATGCAAATTATTAAGAAACTTTTGTTATTTGCCAACTAGCTTGACGGCTTGGTATCAGCTTACGCTCTTAATTACTTGTTTTACGTCAAGGGATATCAAACAAAAAGTAGAGTTTTCAGTGCTGATATTGGATATCTTGTTAGTATCTGCAGAATCGCGTCTTATATACAACCTGAATGGACTAAACCGTTTGGGAGAGTTAATTACATAGCAGTCCTTTATTAAAGACAGACACTTTGACTTGCAGTTTTCTTTCAGATTTCATGATTTTAATTGCTCTAGCACAATTTGTACACAGCGAAGTTTCTACCTTTGAGCTGCAAATTTCAAATACGTTTCTCTAGTCGGAGAATTTTTTGTGCCATCGACATCTTTGAAATTGACATTCTAACGTAAAAGAGGCAGTTGAAAATTTTAAAATGGTGACTAGGCGCCAACTTGGAACATCATTGTACAAGGAGTATAAAGTTAACATCGTCCAAAATGACGGACTGACTGGCAGTCAATTCAATTGTTCATTGAGTCGTATATAACTGAACATTCAATCTTTGAGACGTTATAGTCTGATATACAAATCTTCTTACCATGTACGCGTCTATTTTAGGATTTGATAAAGTAAGAGGCATTTATGGCGATTCTTTCAAACGAAATGTCTCGTATGTTATTGTACAATCCGACGAGACTATACCGAAAGAAAAAATTATACAACAACCTATAGATTTCTGGTGATAGTATATTTTAGGATAATGAAAGAGAATTGAAACAAGGTATCATTTGGCCCAGTTTGCATTCAAAATATGCTCCATGCGCCTGATTGAATCTTATATCTGTAACTTTTACCCTAAAATATAGTATTTATACATCAAATATATCCCCACAAATTTTTTCTTGATGACCTGATCTCAAAAGAAAAATGAGAGTTGCTTTCGCTAATATATAGGCTGCTAATTAAGTATGTACCATAAATTTCACAGACGATTTTTGAGTCGGCAAATTCTTCGTCCTCAAGAAACAGCGCGTTAAAATTAAAAAAAAAACATTTTCTTAAATACTTACACCCTGTTATAGGGGGGTCATTCAACGGCAAAAAAATCTTGAACAGGCAGGTCTTTACCTTTATGTGTTTCGATAATAGAATAATAATGCATTGTTTAAAATGTGTCATTACCGTATTTGTATCTTTGGTAGAACGACGATGTGTATCCCAGTAGCAAAGCCAGGTTCAATAGTAGCATCCACATGGTAGTTGAACCCTAAACTAAAATCACCAAAAAAACACCAGCTGGCTCAATACTCGAAACACTTATCTCACATATCACAAACACTTATGAAACTTTCAGGAATTGTAACTTTTTGAAGTCCTCACTGTCACAACGATCATAATTACGATATGATGTTTGTCAGTATCTCACTATAGCGCTTGTCACAATTTGCGCCCAAGTTCAGACACTTCCTTATTGAAAATAGCCCAGAGACTTTGCTTTCGCACCTGCATTAAAGAGCTTATCACTAAACTTGTGCACGAAAAAGCTTATTACCGATGAAAGTCACTATTTGTCTCTTTTATCACTGTTTTCGCGCTGCGCGCAACCGGCATCGGCAGTTAAAAAAGCGCGCGATCTTGAGGTACTGCCGCCTTGGGCGCATGCTGAAGACACGTAGAAATAACGAAAGAGGTACGCCGATACAGCGTTGCCAAGTCACCGAAATACTATCTATCTTTCCAAGATCGCTAGGTGGTCTGCGATCCAGCTCTTTTTTGCTTCAATGAAAACGGACTGACGGACTTCGCCATGATAGCGTTGCGTATTGAGCCTGCCAGACGAACCCGACAGGCATCAGACTACCATTCTAACCTTGTCGAACTTCGGATATACAAGACTATAGTAGAAAAATGATTGAGAATTTGTTTCCCTACAAAATGTTTCATAATACTTTTTTTACATAGGTTGGATGGTTCTCAAAATTTTCGATCAAACGCATTCCCTATCGCGATGCCAATTTGAACTTTAGGACGCAATAATCTTACGGTACCACAAACAAATTTACTGCCATCAAAATTGTGGTATTTCTTTATACAGGACCCTACTTCATAACTAATATTATATATTTTGTTTTGCCAGATTCAAATTCAATTCAAATTCTTTATTATCCTCGGAGACATTACAACGCATGTATAGGATTCTTCGGGGTAGATACTAACAAAACAACACAAAATAAATATATGTACAAATCAAACAAAACAAACACACAAATAAATCATAAAATAACAAGCTCGGAGACAGCATAACAACAAGAAAGGTTGGCAAAACACGCGATCAAGCCTCCAGCTTGCCTGGTCGAGTACGAATTACAATAGTTTAAGAACCTATTTTTGTGAATAAAAGTATACACAGCCACTTCGTATAAGTTAAAATCTTTAAAATATTTTTACAAGAATGCATATTACTGACTCCGATCGTACATTAACCACACTTCTCCGCGCCAAAAATACTTCTACTATTTTATTTACTTCTAAATAGCGACCAGCATGTATTCAGAAGCTTTTACAAGAATCACTATATCACAATTTGCTGGACGTCGACGTAATGTAGCAGGCATTCGTGTAAAAACTTATTTAAGAGATAAATACGGTGTCATGACAGGTCCCAGCCTCTTTATATTTGACAGGTGCATTTACGTATATAAAAATATAAATAAACTTAGGAGAGGTGATGATATTCACAGTGTATCTACTAGAGATAGATCGCTGATATGTACCGTGCACCAGGTTGAGACTTTGAAACAGAATACCCGATAATTTGACGAGAAGTGATAATTTGTGTCATTTTTCTAGGCGCCTCCAGAAAATTGATTTTATTCAGTAAGAGAACGTCTTACGGCTCATTATTTTTTGTTGTTGTTTTTATCTTTCTGAGCCCTTCGCGATTGTCCATAGCTCTAGTTTATAATGTTTTCAAATTCAAATTGATTTTCCTGTTAATGTTACAAAAAACATCTAGGATTTGTCAACAAAGCTTAAGACTGAGAACAAAATAACAGTAGAACAGCAGTAACATGAAATAAAACAGGTAACAATAAAAAAAAATTTTCCACAGTAAAAATCGCTACAAGAGAAAAACTCTTTGACACTATAAAAACGCTGATCGATCAGAAACCTTCTCAAATTTCGTTTGAAGGATCTCACATTTGTTTCTGACTTTACCTTATCTGGTAGATTATTAAAGATGTTTAATCCCAAGTAATTTGGTGAGACTTGGCTGCATTTATCGTTAAAAATAGGTAAACGTAACTGGATTTTTATTCTGATATTGTGCGTTTTAATGGGACTTGTGTGTACTAGTGCCTTAAGTTAGCCCCACAAAAAGAAATCTAAACTGTTGAGGTCTGGGGACCTTGGTGGTCATTCTTGGGGCCCTCCGCGGCCAATCCAACGATTAGGATAAATAGATTGTAAATAATTACGCACCGGTACACTGAAATTCGTTGGTGTACCATCATATTGTTTCTTATTACTAACGGAGCATCATCAAACAGCAAAGGCAACTGTTGTTGAAGAAAATTGGAGTTTGATGGCAAATATTTAAGTGTCTAGCGATTTTCCTCGTACTCGCTTCAGGATGTTCTTCGACTTCGTGCAGCACTGCTTCCTCAATCTAAGGTGTTCTCACACTTAGAGGTCTACCTTAAGATGTTACTTTTCGGACAGAACCAGTTTCAACAAGACGACGATGAATATTAGAAAAGGTTCGGCTATCTGGCAAAGCACGATCGGGATATCTCTGGCGATAAATCCGTCTGGCTTGCTCACCATTACCGTCGGCAAGGCCATATACGTAATGCATTTTTGAATAATACACCATAATATTAATACAATCTTTTCCGACCAGGTAACATCTTTGGAAATAAATATTATCAAGTATGGCAACGCTGCCTCTAACAGTCGGCAACGCATAAGCGGCAGATGGGCCGTCAAGTGCCGAGCAGCGCGGATCCACCTGTCTCAAGGGGCGGTACCACCTTACCGTGTCGTACAACCACCGCACCGACAGCGGAAGTCCCGTCGCCGTACATCCTCGGTGTGGGACATTTCTCGTCACACACGGCTGACCGCTTCCCATCGCGTGCAAGGTGGAGGGTACGTTGTGAAAAAATATACCGGGTCGATGTATCGTGTAACGTTCTATTTATCTAATTCCCTGCGATATTCGTATCAGATTTCTAAGAAGTGACCTACTACCGTTGATATATCACGGGACAAAGGAGGTGGATCGTACATACGTATATAGAAGGAAAAATGTGCTAACCTGTCGGACACTTCGAGGTCTCTCTATACAGTACAATATAATAATAATAATATTTATTCACTCAATGTACAAAGATAACAAACAATATGAGTAAATAAATATAAAATCAAAACAGGCCCAATAGAAGGCATCGCCTGTACATGGACCAATAATTTAAGTTGAAACTGTAGAATGCAAATGACAAAAAAGGACAAAAATTAGCTACAGTAGATTATGTATTTAGTTGATGTTCGTATTTATGAGTTTATGAATTTCAGTCCTAGATATAGAATGTAGCCAGTTTTTTAAATTTCTTTTGAAACAATTTCCGAAACGTAAATCTTTTAAGTCTTTAGGTATAATTTCATAAAATTTAGGCGCTAAATAGAGATATGATCGCTGCATTATAGATTTATGCGGTTGAGGAACTACTGGGCCACGAATTTTGTACCTGGTACAATGATTATGTTTAATTTTTTGGTCGGTGTTTACAAATGTATGGTAGTGAATGATACTGTGTAAGAAATAAAGCTGTCTTATATCATACATTCGAACATCTGCGTATAATTTTTCAGTGGGATAAAGTTTCGGTTTTTTAAATATCATTTTTAGAATACTTTTTTGAAAAACACCTAAATTATAGATATGTGAGGAACATGCAGCTCCCCATGCTAATATACCATATGTGAGATGAGGCTCAATCAGTGCATGGTATAACGTTCGAAGATATTTTTCTGTCAATATATTCCCAAGGTATTTAATTTTGTAGGATACAAATCTAACTTTCTTTAAAATATAATTCACATGGATGTCCCATCGTAAGTGAGGAGCCAAGACCCCTCCAAGGTATTTTATGTTGGGCACTCTATTAATTTGCATTTTTTGATCATTAATATTGAAGGAGAAATTTGTGTAATTTGGCAGATGTCTAGCATAAGATCCAAATGGTAAAAAATATGTTTTAGAGTAGTTAATGCTTAATTTTCTACTGTTAAACCACCGAATAATTTTGATAAAATCATTTTCAATTACATTTTTCAGATCAGACCAGTCAGTGCCTTCATATAATATTGCAGTATCATCTGCAAAACTAGTTATTTTGCCAACACAATTAATTTGGAAAATATCATTTAAATATATATTGAATAACAGCGGACCTAAGACAGTTCCTTGTGGGACACCACACTTAATATACATTTCTTTACTAAATGATCCTGATATCTGCACAGATTGTGGACGATTTGACAAATAACTTTCGATCAGTGCGTACGCATTTCCTCTGAAACCAATTCTCTCCAATGCTTTTAATAATAATTTGTGATTAACTGTGTCGAAAGCTTTCTTTAAATCAACAAAAATGCAGATTGAAGGGATTCTGTTATCAATATTTTGATGTATTTGATTTACAATTTTAGTTATTGCGTCCGATGTAGCCTTCCCTTCTGTAAATCCATATTGATTTTCACTTAAAATTTTGAATTTTGTGAGGTATCGAATCATTCTAGTAGATAAAACTTTTTCAAAAACCTTTGCTACACTGGATATTATTGATATTGGTCTATAGTTGTTAACATCTGTTTTTGTTCCTGATTTATGTATCGGTATTATATTACCTTTTTTTAAAATTGAGGGATATATGCCAGATTCAAAGCATTTGTTGATTAGGTAAGTGAGTGGTTCGGTTATGTCCTCGGCTATAATTTTCAAATGCTCGCTTTTAATACCATCGATCCCAGGACTTTTCCGATTTTTTAAGGACATAACATTGGTGCATACTTCACATTTCTCGACTTTATCCAAAATAAGTTCAAAGTTCTTTTTGGAGGCTGAGTATTTTGTATATTTGCTTGTATATTACTTGCTAAATTTTCGCCTATGTCAGTAAAGAATTGTACAAATTCATCGCATATCTGTTGAGTATTTTTTAATACTGTTCCCGATGTTGTATTTAACTCAGTGACACACTCTTTAAATTTTGTTTTCCCAGTAATCTCATCAATAGTTGTCCAAAGCCGCTTAGGATCATTTAAGTTATTATTCAATTTATTTAGGTAATGTTTTCGTTTGGTTTGTCTTACAAGCTCTATAAATTTATTTTTATATTGGTTGTAGCAGTCGGTATTCTCTGTAGTTGGCGTTAGTTTCATTAGATTATATAATCTTTCTTTTTCTATTGCCGATGTTATTA